GGCTTCACAACGATGTGGGGTTTGAATTTATATTACCAGCATGGTCCAGAAAGCTCCAAGCCTAGAGAATAACATGAAGTATCATCAACCCAGATTGGTAGCACCTGAAGAAGGAAATATAAATCCATGCCCACCCCCCCCCCCGACCCCCCGCCCGCCCAAAGGGTCATGCCTCCACACAGGCTGCCCAGGATGCTGACAGATAAAACCCAAACAAATGTTAAGTTCACAATCCAGAATGAGCACATGAACAATAAGCCCATCAGAGGAAAGGTGCCTGGGGCACCTGGGTGGCTCAGTTGCTTAAGTGTCCGACTCTTGATTTTGGTATCCAGGGAGAGAGCAGCTGAGAATTTTCCATTATTGGGTGGGGATGACTCTCTGTAACGGATGGACAGTAAGACTAACAGCAGACTTCTCAACAAAAACAAACAGAAGTCATAAGATAATGGAAAAAAGGGCCAAGAGAAGCTAGCAGTCCATGTAAATTGTATACCTAGTAAAACCATCTTTGAAGAATACGAGACACAAATAGGAAGAGACAGACACAAATAGAAAGAATTTACCATCAGTGGACCCTTCCTAACAGAATTTCTGAAAGATGTATTTCAGGAAAAGGAATGTTAGAACCAGAAGAAAGTACTGAGATGAAGGACGGATGGCAAACAATGAAACTGATAAACTCATGGGTAAATCAAAACAAATACTGACTAAAGCAACAATAACAAATAGTAACTGTATAAAACTATAAAAATAAAAATGACTGATTTGAAGATTAAAAACTAGATGTTTACCCCCGTGTTCACTGCAGCATTATTTACAGTAGCCAAGATATGGAAACAACCTACTTGTCCATCAATAGATGAGTGCATAAAGAAAAGGGGATATATACACGTACAATGGAATATTATTCAGCCATAATAATGAATGAAATCTTGCCACGTGTGATACCATGGATGGACCTCAAGGGTATCGTGCTAAATAAGTCAGACAGAGAAAGACAAATACTGGGTGATCTCTCTTATTTGCAGAATCTAAAAACAAAAACAAGGGGCGCCTAGGTAGCTCAGGCCGTTAAGCATCTGACTCTTGATTTTGGCTCAGGTCATGATCTCACAGTTACCAAGTTCAAGCACTGCGTTGGGCTCTGTGCTGATAGTGTGGAGCCTGCTTGGGATTCTCTCTCTCTCCCTCTCTCTCTGACCCTCCCTCGCTCATGCTTATTCTCTCTCTCTCTCAAAATAAATAAATAACCATTTTAAAAACTTTAAAGTAGAAGTTCTATTTTGCCTGGTCTTTACCTAAACTGGGGTTGTCATGAGTCTCCAAAGCACGGTTTCTGGAGGAAGAAGGAACAAACAGACCACCTAGGCATTAACTAAAATACTAGACAACAGTGTCACAGGAGATGAAAATAAAGGAGTAAGAGTTAATGTAAAAGGGCGTTTCCATGCTTAAGAGAAGGGTAAAGAAAATACTAAAAGTATGAACATTGGGGCGCTTGGCTGGCTCAGTGGGTTAAGCATCTGACTCTTGATTTTGGCTCCCGTCATGATCTCAAGGTTCTTATGTTCCAGCCCCGCATCAGGCTCTGCACTGACAATGTGGACCCTGCTTGGGATTCTCTCTCTCTCCCCCTCTCTCTGCCCCTCCCGTGTGCATGCACTCTCGAAAATAAACTTTTAAAATAAATAAATAATGGAAGTATGAATGTGAATAATTTCAGAGAATCTGGCAAAGTGCTCACTTGGATAACAAACCCCTACACATTTGAAGCCTGACAAATATCTTATTTACTTATTTTAATTTTTTTAACATTTATTTATTTTTGAGAGACAGAGACAAAGCATGAGAGGTGGAAGGAGAAAGACAGAAGGAGAGAGAATCTGAAGCAGGCTCCAGGCTCTGAGCTATCAACACAGAGCCTGATGTGGGGCTCGAACCCATAAACTGTGAGATCATAACCTCAGCCGAAGTCGGATGCTCAACCGACTAAGCCACCCAGGGACCCCTTATTTATTTTTAATGTTTGTTTGTTTTTGAGAGAGAGCAAGCAGGGAAGGGGCAGAGAGAGAAGGGGCCAGAGGATCTGAAGCAGGCTCCACACTGTCAGTGCAGAGCCCGACATGGGGCACGAATCCACAAACCAGGAGATCACGACCTGAGCTGAAGTTGAACACTCAACCGACTGAGCCACCCAGGCGCCCCATAAATATCTTTTTAAATAAATGAGCAAATAAATGACTGAAACAAAGCAAAAAGGAGGCACCAGAAAACATACTCTCCTCTCTGTCTCTGGAAGCACTTGGTGAGGGGGTGACGTGTGGAGCTTCTGGGGCCATATTGAGACCGTGAGGAAGGAAGCCCGAATGGGAAACATCAATGTGTTAGGAGAGCAGGGTGGGCAGATGAACAGAACCTGGGCTCTGAGCACCACATTCCCCTGGAACACGGGTGACTGAGGTAAGGCCAGTTGGCCTCCTGGAACAGGAGAGACATGAATGCTGAGGAAGAAAGGGTATCTATCCTTCAAACACCCTGTAGGTATCTGCTACAAGGAGCACGGCGCTTGGAGCTGTCTGGAAGCCATCTTGCCACCACCTAAATGGAGCATGTCTGAAATGAGGCTACATAGAGGATACGAGAGCGAGCACGAAATCTGATGGCATCATTTGAACTCCTGGCTAGAGTCATGCCTGAAACATCTGCCCTTCCCCTTCCTAGTAAATTCAATAAACCCTCTACCCTTCTGTTTAAATATGAGCTGTGTTCACCATTTTTGTAAACAAGTAAGAGAATAACTTAGAAATTCTCATCGATTGAGAAAGGGAAATATATTATTTCCCTATGAAAAACCTTTCGCCCTGTAACTGCCAACAGTAGAGGGTTCTCCCAAAGACTCACAGAAATCCAATCACTTGGTGCCCAAACCTGGGCCTGCATCTCAGGGTTGTGGGGGAAAATGGCTTGAGCTCAGAAAATACATGGTGGATGTTGTTCACCTATCATGTGCCCTCTGTCTTGCCCTTCCCTGAGAGAGAGGCTTGATGCAGGTAACTATTTTGGGAAGTAATCTTAAGGGAATAGTGAAATCGGAATGAGTCCAGGAGAAAAGAGAAAGCCCATCCAGGGGTGTGTTACAGAGCAGGCTACTGTCGTGGGCACCCGGGGCTCACTCCCAGCAGCACTCTTGAAGAAGCCACGCAGAATGTCTCAACTGTCTACTGCAGGGAGGGATATTTATCCACTGGTTCCTGCCCCAGCCCCCATCGCTCAAGGATCACCCCAGAAGTGTGAACTCCCTCAGACCTCCCAGTGTACATGTGCCCCAAGTGGCTGTGCCAGAAGGCTGTGCCAGAAAGTGACATTTGGAGCAGCTGAGGTGCCCTTGGGCTAAGCGCACACACGGCTGGCTGGCTGCAGTAAAGAGCAAAGCAGAAAGGTGACTAGGGAGGACATGAGATGGGTGTAGAATATGCCGGACCCACACTTCACAAAGAGATACACGTGGAACACAGCCCATCAGCGCAGCACAGGCCAGCTGGGATTGTAGGCCCCTCTTCTGCCTACTGAAACATTCAGGCCAATTCCCGGTTCAGTCTGCCTCTGCTGGGAAGCCAGCTTAGATTCCCTCTGAAGAAGGAGGAGTCATTCTTCTGAGAATTCTAAACTGGAATGGATCACCTGGATCCTTCCCTGGGGGACCCTAAGCAATGGCAAGCATCACAACGGAGGCTTGTGAAGGGGATGCAAAGGGTTCTCAATGTGGCCATTCTCATTCTGATCCTCTGTAAACCTGAAGGCTTTCCAGTGACTCAGCAAATCCTAGTACCAATGTTTCCCAGAAATGGGAATAGACAGGAGCAATACTTAGCCAAAGACACTGAAGAATAATTAAAGGGGGCAACAATGACAACACAAAGCCTGATTCTCAGGCCTGGAGAGAGTCAGAGCATCTTGCTGGAACCTGGTGTGACAGAGTAAAAACAGCACAGGACTTTCAACCAAACCAATCTGACCTTTTGAATCCCGGCTCTGATACTTTTTAGTTACGTGACGTTGGGAACATCATTCCATATCTTTGAGATTCCATTTCCTCATCTCTAAAATGGGGGATAATAACATCAGCTTCCCAGGGTTGTTAAAGTAAGAAATAACGCATAGAAGTTGCCAGCACAGTACCTGGCACATGGAACATATTCAAGAAAAGACAGGGAGAAGAAATGAATAAATGAAAGGCAGAAAGATAGAGGAAAGCAAATCCTAAACTGAGCACCACGGTTTACAGAAATGAAACACTGATCGCACTGACATTCTCTTAAAACAGAAACAAGGAAAGAGACAGCTTTTCTTATCAGGAGCGTAGACACCAGAGAAGGGTCCTCAGCGCAAAGCTTTAAGATCAGTTCAGAAAGCTCATCTGGGCCCTGGACTAAAGCACCCCTGGAGATGGGGTGAGTGGCCCTTTGCATGCGTAGGGTGGAAAGCCTTGGTTCAAGGTCTAGCCCATATCCACCCCCCCCCCCCCCCCCCAGTCATGGCTAGATCACTCAGGTTTGAGATCATCAGTGACAGCAGCTCCCTGCCAGGAAGGAGGAGGGAGAGAAGTTCTTCCTGATCACCAGCACAGGGTCCTCTTCACCACGGCCCAAGCAGAGGCCCATCCCAGGTCCCAGGTGTACTGTGGGCCCACACATCCTAACGTGGGGAGAACAATCTGAACATACAGAATTAATTCCTTTCACCTAGCAGTTCGGGGATTATCATTCTTGTTTATTTCGGGGGCATATTCTCTCTCATATGTGTTGCTCCTCTAACTTGTTTCCCTGGCAACAAAGAAAAAGGAAGAAAGAAGGTACACGTTGTTTTGTTCTCACATCCTGGGAGGGGTGGGTCCTAAGGGTTGTGGTTAGCAGCAGTCGAGACTCCTCCATTCAGCAAATTACAACCGAGGCTTCCAGTTTCTCCCAGTCTTGTTTAATAGAGGGGGTGGGGCCGAGTCAAAGCACCGCTGGAGGAGTCTCACCGCCACTGAGAGAGGCAAGCAATGGTTCTTCTTCAGGGCCAAGGCCAAGTCAGGTACCCTCCTGGCAAATGGCTCACCCCACCAGTCTTCACAGCCCCAAATGGGTCAGACTGGTGGCGGCTGCCAGGTCCTGCGGTCACCAGGCAATGACCAGCTCACCTGCGCTGGTTCCCTGACTCCTGGCTCTGACAGGAAGCGGGGTCATCTGGCACCTGGGATTTGCCCTCCAGCACCTGCCGGACCCTCTGCATCCCTGGGAAGAAGGGACAGCTGCATTGGCACCGATAGCTGGGCAGCAGGATGCACGAGCTAAGGCTGCTGGAGCCACAGCGGGGACCGGAGGAGGGAAGGCAGACCGAAGGGTGTGTGAGGAGGTGGGATCGCTTACCCAGGCAAAGCCGGTGGGCCTTGTCCGAGAAGACCAAGCGGAACCAGCCAGGCTCTTTACACTGGAAGGCTTTGCCGCAGGACAGCAGTACCTTGTTGTCCAAAAAGCGGCGCCAAAGCAGCATTTCCTCCTTAAAGGTGGCCTCGGGCAGGTACTGGGTGGGGGGGGGGGGGGGGGGGGGGGGGGGGGGGGGGGGGCTCAGGATGCAAATGAGACAGCCCTGCCCCTCACCTGCTGGAGAGAGGCCTAAACTCCCTCCCAGCCTGCAGCACCAGCGCCGCCACCTGCATTACCTTCCTCAGGTCAACCCAGATGAAGAAGCCTGCCCCACGGCCGAGGAAGGGGATCCCCAGGGCCCGGAGCTCTCCTGCGACATAGGTGTGGGCAGCCTTGAGCCGGGCATGGTTCTCAGGTAGGTACACCTGGTTGATCCAGTCTGGGTACAAAGAGAGGCCAAAACACAAAACTCTCATCAATCCTTCACTCTGTCCCAGGAGTGTAAACACTGACAACAAAAAGGCCAGGACTCTTCCTCCAGCTGGATGATGGGGGCGATGGAAATATTCAATAGCCAGTACAAAGCACCTGAAATCCAGATACCTGGCCTGACAGCTCCCTGTCCCGCAGACACAAAGTCCCTCAGGATGTGGATCCTACCTGAGGGGTGGCCCACTCACAGAGCAATGCTTCCGACTCACAGAGCTGAGGTTCAGGTCCCAGCCAGTCCGCTGACAACTTGTGGGGCCTTGGGCAACTTCACCCCCCCCATCCTCACCTTTTTTTATTAACTTTCCGTGGTGTCCAGTTTGATGAGTTTTAACACGTGCAGATTTGTGTAAACCACCCCACCCCCCACAAGCAGGACACCAACAGTTCCCTCGCCCCACAGAACACCCTCATGCTGTTTGTAGTCCCGTCTCCCCCATGGCCCCACAACCACTGGCCTGTTCTCCGTCACTCTACTTTTGCCTTTTCCAGAACGTCACATAAGTAGAATTACACGTCATCTTTTGAGACTGGCCTCTTTCCCTCAGCACAATGCCTTTGAGCTCAGCCCGCGTTGCCTTGGATTTTATGCCAGAGTTGTATTCCATTGTGTGGATGGGCCACAGTCTGTTCCCCTGTTCATGCCCACAAGGACGTTGCGGGGGGCAGGTTCCAGTGTGGGGTGATTGTGAACAAAGCAGCTATAAATATTCACGTAGTGGGTTTTGGGTGACCGTAAGGGTAAAGAGCTAGGGGAGGGATCGCTGGGCCGTTTGGTAAGCGTGTGTTTAACTTCGTAAGCAACGGCCAATTGCTTTGCAAAGTGGCCGCACCTTCCTGCATTCCCAGGGTGGCCCGTGAGAGTTCCAGCTGCTGCACACCCCTGCCGACACTTGATGGTGTCGCTATTTTTTTTTAATTATAGCTGCTACAGCAGGTGTATGGTATCTGGTCCTCCTGTCCTCATCTACAAAATACCAGGGAAAATACAGGAATATCTGCTCCTGGATTCAGGGGAGGGACAAATGAGCTGGTGCACTGAGAACATCTAGCAGGGCTCAATAAACGGTGGCAATTACAGACCACCTTTGCTGTCTACACTGAGATGCTCACAGAGAGAGACTTGCCTTATAACCATTTTCCCTCTGTAGCTTCTCCTTTTTCTAAGTGCTCACAGCTAATAGTAATGGGTTCACGCTGACCAAGCGCCTCTTTACGCCAGGTGCTATCGCTAATTCACAAGTCACACTAACTGAGGTTTGGGGAGGCGAAGGAAGGTGCCACACAGCCAGGGAGTGCCCGAGTCAGGTCACTGGGACTTCCAAACGCCACCCTGAATTCTTTTCATGACAGAAGCACCCATGATGCCTGGCCAGTCCCCGACTGACTACAACCTTCCCCCCAGTTCTCAAGTGACCGGGCCCAGGCAGTCACCATGGTCCCGGAGCAGCTGTGCCATCTGGTACTGGACCAAGCCACTGAGGCCGTGATAGCGGCAGAGGGAAGCCACCGCAGTGGCCACGTCCCGGTTCTCTGTGTACAGCGTGCCGAAGCGGAGCCCAGACATCCCGAAGTCCTGCAGGAGAAAGGCACCCGGTGGCCATCCCGCCACACAGGAAGCTGGTTCCACCCACCTCTCTGCCCTCTCACCTCCCCGACACCCCCGAGGCCATACAGGAACCTACCTTGCTGGTCGCCCACATTACATGGGTCCTCTGGGGGTCAGGCAACCTGCAGAGAGCACAGTGTGGGAACATGGGAACACAGATCCACCACAAAGGCTCACACACGTTCGGCTGAACAAATGAGATGGGTGGACGAATTTGGTTCCGCTTCTTTTTTTAAAAATTTTTTTTTTTCAACGTTTATTTTTGGGACAGAGAGAGACAGAGCATGAACGGGGCAGGGGCAGAGAGAGAGGGAGACACAGAATCGGAAACAGGCTCCAGGCTCCGAGCCATCAGCCCAGAGCCCGACACGGGGCTCGAACTCACGGACCGCGAGATCGTGACCTGGCTGAAGTCGGACGCTTAACCGACTGCGCCACCCAGGCGCCCCTTGGTTCCGCTTCTTGTGTGAAGCTCCGGTCTCATCTCTTGAATCAGCAATTCCTACACATCCTTTAGAGCAAGAGTCGGCAGACATAGCCTGCAGGCTAAACCCAGCCCACTGCCTGTTTCCGTAAATAAAGCTTTACTGGAACACAGCCTTGCTTCTTCGTGTGCATACCGTCGATGATTGCATTCATGCTGTATGGCAGCTGAGGGAGAGACCGTATGGCCTATATAGCCTTAAATATTTGCCATCTGATCCAAAAAACATTTGCCAATCCCTGATCTGGAGCATAGCTCGAGTTCTACTTCCTCAAACACACTTCTCTGACCACCTCCCCGTAGGCGGGGCCAATGGAGGACCCTAAGTAGATCCCCTCACAGCTCCCCAGACTTCTCCTTCTTAGCACTTCTCACGGCCACAATCAAAGCACTGTGTATTTAGCTGCTAACGTTCTCCTGGCTAGAAACAGAAGTTCCACCCAAGGGGGGGCCTATGCCTTTCCTGCTCACTGTTGTATCCCAGCGCCTGGCACAATGTCTGGCACAGAGTAGATGGCAAGTCACTGTTTCTCTGTGTCTCACTTTCCTAACCCATAAACAAACAGAAGCGACAACCGTCTACCTGGCCTCATGAGGACTAGCCGAGAGAACCAATGGAAAGGACTTCACAGGGTCAACAGGTCTGAACAAGTATCAGGAACTGTTAGAATCTCTGAATGTCGGATTTGCAGACTTTACAGATGATCTGGTCTAAGAGTCTCCAAAGCTGTTTTAGCCACAAATGTTTGGCTTATACCAAATCCAGTGAAAGAGCCCAAACAGCTGGAAGTGCTTGGCACGTGCCTGGGGCTGCAGAAGGATTTGCTGAGTGACCAACTGAGGGAGTGAATGCGTGAGTGAGTGAATGCGTGAGGGAGTGAATGCGTGAGTGAGGGAGTAAGTGAATGAGTGAGGGAATGAGTGAGTCAGTGAACGAGTGAGGGAGTGAGGGAACAAACAACTGAGGGAGGGAGGGAGGGAGTGAGGGAGGGAGTGAGTGGAGTGAGGGAGGGAGTAAGTGAATGAGGGAGGGAGTGAATGAGGGAGGGAGTGAACGACTGAGTAAATGAATGAATGAATGAAAGGGTAAATGAATGGGTGAGTAAGTGAGTGAATGAATGGATAAAGCTAGAGCTACTCTGGAAAACAGCAAAGAAGGCCAGTTCCCACCCTCGCAGCACCACCCTCCCCCCAACCAGGAATCCTATGGCCTGGCCCCTCCTTGGGGCTCTACAGAAACCCCACAGAACAATGTGAAAACCTATGATGCAGCCTGGCTTCCCATGTTCTCCTTAGGGGATCTGAGGACGGTGGGATTAGCTGGACATGAGAGGAAATGAACTTAGGCCACATCCTGAGGGCTGAGCCACAGGGGGCCAGGGCACCGTGGGGGCCTGGGGGGCTGGCAGAGTCAGATTTGGTGGGGCAGCCTCACCCTTCCAGGCTTAGGACGCTGTGGTACCCCGCCGACTTCTCAAACACGGACAGCATGTAGACCTCATCCACCATCACGTGCAGCTTGTGCCTGGAGGAGAGAGCTTGGTTTGCAGGCCAAATAGGTCCCCCGGGGTGGGGGAAGCAATGAATCAGAAATCCAAGGGGACCACAGTCTGGCCCAGGGTTACCAAACTTTCTTCCAGAGACACCCTTCTTGTGCCTGTTTCTTCAAACAGGAAGCCGCACACACAAAGCAGACAGCAGTGGGGCTTTCGAAGCACTGTCTGGGAGAGGCGGAGAGGCCGTGGGTACCTCCACAAAGGACACGAATAAGTGCAAAACAGTTACGTACGGACAGACCCAGATTCAAGTCTGGCTCCACTCCTTGCTCAGCAAACGGGGGATAATGACAGTGTGATAATAGGGTGACCGGGAGGATTACAGGAGACACAGCACATGAAGCACTTAGCAGGGTGCCTGGCCCCTAGAGCCTATACACTGAATGACAGCTGTTGTTATAACAAGAAAGAGAAGCAGCATCCCACGAATCCCTGCTTCCCCACCCCACTGCTGGGGAAGGACCAAAGCGGGTGGGAGCCCACAGTGGAGGGAACAGGGTAGAAGGGCCTGTACCAAAGCCTGTGTCAGTTTCCTGATCTGCCGGCACGCTTTGTGGGGGGACTGCAAGGTGCCTCACCTCTTGGCAAATTCCAAGTAGTCCCGCAGCTCTCCTGGGGAGTAGATGTCACCCAGAGGGTTCTGGGGGTTGATGAGGATGAGGCCTTTGACCTTCACACCCTGAAACCATCAGTGGGGCAGGAAACCCTCAGCTCTTCCTGAAGGCCAGAGCCACACGGTCCCACTAGATGGGGCTGGTTGCTGGGCAGGCTCCCAGGGAAATGTGATGGGAATGTGTTCACCACCCAATGTGGAGTGAACAAGGGCAGAGAATTACATGTCTGTAGCATGGGGTCAACCAGGAAAGGAAACAAAGGCAGAGAACAAAGCCCAGAGGCAAATATGCCCAAAGGGTAAAGGTTGCCTTTGTTGGTAGAATAATGGGTGGGGGGTTTCACTTTTAGAATTCCTACGTGTACAGCGTTAATGACCTCGGACTAGAAAGGAACCACAGGAGTAGTACTTGTCTCTGCCTTTCTTCAGGAGGTCCCCTCAAGGCGAGAGGAGAATCATGTCCTCAAATCATCAGGGAGACTGCTCAACTACAGACGGCTAGGTTCCACACCTGACCACAAAATCAAAATAGGGTGGTAGAGGCGGGGGTGTTAATCAAGTTCCCTGGTTGACTCTTTGTACACAGAGGTCTCAGGGTCTTTCTCCAGTGAGAAGACCCTCCTTGGGCAGGCTCCTACTTGACCCCCCGACACCCCATCCCCATCAGGGAGTGCCAACCCACTCCCAGGATGAGATCAGCCACAGGAAGTCTGTTGTCCTGCTTAGACCCACCCACTCCCAGCCTTGGGTTTGATATGACCTCCAGACCTCAAAATTAGCTCTTTGCAGGGCCATCTCCAGCTTCTCCACTGTGAGCTGGAAGGGGCGTGTGTCCAGCCCAGTGACCTAGACAAAGATGGAGAAAAGCCACCAGCCAAATTCAGGGATCCCTTAAACCTGAACTTCTGGGGCCTCTCCAGGGCCCTTGTCATCTCTAGCTTCCCCAATGCAGTTTCTGAAAAAAAAAAACACAGATAGGCTCACTCTCCTCATTGCCACCAACCCCCACCCCATCACATCAGGGACACTTCATCACTCTTAGTTGGGAAGAGGCCCGAGAGATACTCTGATTGGGGTCCAAGAACTTTCATGTTGACGTCTTCTCTGCCCCATCCTCATGCCACCATTTTGATGTAGTCTCCCTGGGACTGCCCTTGGCTTCTACATTGACCCCAGAGCTCTCAAAACCAGGACTTGGAGAACCCCTGGGGAACCCAGGTATGGACAGTCATGGGCAACAGAAGGCTCCACTTCCTTGCAGCCATAACCCCAAAGCCCTCAGCATGGACTTCTTCCCATGTCCACCCTCAAATTCATAGAGAGAAAAGTCTTCATGTATAGGAAGGCGTGGGTCCTGCCTGGGGTCCCAGGAGCTCTTACCTCACTGTCCAGATAGACACAGACCAGTTGGACGCCGCCATAGAGATAGACGTGCTGTGTGATGGCTCCATAGTAAGGGGCAGGGATCAGGAACGCCTCTGAGGGCAGGAGTGGGCCAGGGTCTGTCACTCTCTGGCCCGAATGCCCCAATCCCCCCATCCACGGGCTCCACACCTCTCCCAGACTTCCACGTCCTCAGGGGAACAGTGGAGGCACACTGTGTCTCTCAACTCTCAAGCTCTAATACTGGATCCACTGAGATCAGTCCCTTTGCTGATAATCAATAGCCAACATTTACTCAATACTTACTACATGCTGGGAACTGTGTTAAACATGCACTTGCGTGTTAGCTCATTTGGTCCTCGCTATCACTCTGTAATGTCAGTAACTTTACTGATGAGCAAACTGAACCTCAGAGGATCCCTCTAAAGCACTCAACGTGCTGGGTCACTCCAAGAAGACAGGGATCCACTGAGTTGAAGCTGCAGGGTGATCTGGGCTGGACAAATGGACACACTTGAGAGCAGACAGAACTGCCCAGAGATAGAGTGGGTTCGGGAGGAGTGGATTTTCCCCCTCTGGGCACATTGGAATCAAAGGCTGAGACGGCATGCTGGGGACGGGATATCATCCAGAAGACCCCAGCTGTGGATGGGGGCGGGGGGTGGCTGGCGATGACCGCCAAGGTCTATCGTAATGCAGAGGCAAAGGCATTCCTCCAGTTCTGGGGAGGACACATGGTCAGGCCGCCTTCCCCTCCCCCCACCTGCCCCACTCGCAGCTCTGGGAGGGACAGCCTTCGTCCTACATGTTCCCTACCCCAGCCGCAGGGAGTGGACGGGAGGTAAACAAGGCACCCAAGCGAGCCCATCCACTGGCTGGCCAGAAGCCCATCACGTGCTCTCTCTCATGACTTTGCTCTAGGAAGCACAGACGCTCATCAGATGAGAATGAGCACCTGGACAGAAAGGTCACGTGCAGTGGGAGCTGGGGCAGCTACACTGGGCCATGCGGGAGCTGAGAAAGGTCCGGAGAGAGGCTCACATATAAAAAGGGGAGGAAGAGGAACTATATACCCCAATGAGAGATGGAGAGTGTGACACCAATCCTGTTCTTGACTGTTCTAGAATGGGTAGGAAATTGCCTATTATATCCTTGCAATGAATCTTCTTTTTGTGGTTCGAATCCTGGTTACGAGCTCTGTGTGTGTGTGAATTTGACAGGTTACTTAACCCCCTGTGCCTTCATGTCCTCATCTGTGAAATGGGACTGACACAGAACCTGCCTCCGAGGGAGGTACTGAGGATTAAATGACGGACTAGGCGTAAAGCCTTAGGCCAGTGCCTGCAACATGGCATGCGGTCAGTAATTGTTACCAGTATAATCACTACCAGTTAAGCTAGGTGAGTAGGTCTGGTCTCTCTGTTCTGGCGACAATAACCCCTGACCATGACCCGTTCTCAATCTGACTTTGGCTCCTGTTTCAGACACTGCTGGTGGCCTACTCAACAGCCACTCCAACTTTCTTGCGAAGAGAGCATCAGATTTCCCAGATATGGCCAGCAATAAGTCCGAGGAAGGTGGGAGGGAAGGAAAGATGGCCTTTCCCCAGCCCCTGAGGATAAACCATGTTTGGCTTAAGCCAACCGTGGTTCTTAATCCCGTTTTTCAGGGACTGCTTCAGGAACGGGTTTGAGAGTCAGTTCTGGCCAGTAAGACATAAGGGGAGCCCTGCTGGGACTCTTTTGGGAAAGTCCTGCACCCTCCCAATAAAAAAGACACAGGCAAGGCACCACCTCATCCCTTCCTTCCTGCCTTAGGACACACTGTCACGTAAGGAGGCCATAGCATCACACGACAGGAAAAACCAAGGTCATGGCAGAGAGAAGCCCAGAACCCTGGCATCAGTTGACCTCCCCTGAAACTGCCAACATCCGGTATCTTGTCAAAGTGCTAATTCGCCCCCTGCCGTCTAGCAGTCTACTATGGCCCAAAGCATTCCGGTGCAGCCTGCAAAGACAGGCGGCTGTGGACACGGCAGGCGGAGGGCAGCCCCCAGTGTTGAGCAGCCCACAGTTTACTTACCCCCCACCTCACACAGCACTGTGGCCAGAGCAGAGAAGAGAGAGGCACAGCCGTTCAGAACCACCACCTGAGGGTGACACATCCACACAAGAAAGATGAATAACCTGTGCAAGTGGAAGCAAGGACCTATGGCTATATCCAGGCTGGCACAGAGGGACGGCCAGGCCCCACCTCGGGGCCCTCTGGGGCTCTGTCACAGCACAGTCACCAGAAGCAGCCACAGGCCCGCCTGACTAACAGCCAGGCGCATTTGTGTGGCTTATTCTTTGGTCGATGCTCTGGATCAACAGAGCAAGGAAGAGGGAGCTGGTCACTTAGAGGGTCTTGTCCAAAGGTGTCAAGGCAACAAGGAACCACAGAACCAAGTAGAGCAGAAATTACATCCCAGTTATATCCTAAATATCTAGGGTGAGGAGGAAAGGGGGAGGGGGTATTCCTAATTCCACCTGGAAATAAGTCAAAACTGAGTGAAAGGCAGATCCCAGCCCTACCTTACCCCCGGCCAGTCAAAAATTGGGGGAGGTGGGCAGAAGAGCAGAAGGCAGAGGAGGGGGCTACTCACATTCTCTGGTTTCAGGGGTGCAGGGCTCTTGCAGTAGAAAGAGAGGAATCTGGCCACTTCCTCCCGGAGGCTACAGTTTGGACAGAGAGATGGACACTTGTCAGAGGGTCCCCAACCCACAGTCCATCCCAAAGGTCCCCTGGTGAATCTTCAGATAGCTGCCATTATCCTTCTCCACTTTCTCACGAGGGCAGTGAGGCCAGTGCTGTCTCCACATCTCGGGGCCCCCCGCCCCACCACCACCCACAGGCATAAAAACCTGCCTTCTCTGTAGTTCTAGGACCCCCGACCCACCTGATCAGCTGGACTGGGTAGGATCCAGGGGTAGGGGAGGGGAGGAATATCAAAAGTAACACTCTATCTGCATGTAAATCTAGCAGATAATAATGTTATAACAATAACTGTCATCATAGTTACTGTTGCTAACAGTTATTGAGCATTTACATGATGCAGGAGTTACCTGGGGGAATTTTACTCATTTAATCTTCATGACAACTCTATGATGCTATTATTATTATTCCCATTTTACAGACAAAGAAACGGAGGCTTGAAGGAAATCAGTCACTTGCTGGTAAGCGGCAGACTCCACTCATGCCAGTGGCCTGTCTCTAGGACCCACCATCCTAATTACTAGAAGAACATGCACTTTGGAATCCAGTCCTGCTTGGCCACTAAGTCCTTAGAACAGCAGGTGGCCCCTAGCAAGTGCTCAACGAGGACAAACTCCGATTAGTATTAGGTACCACCTCCCATCTTTCCAGGAGGAAAATGCGTTAGCCAGCCCCCCTTCGCCCCCAGTGCTAGTTCTGGTTCCTCTAAGACTACCGAGAAAGCAGGGACAAAGACCCCATGCCTGAAGGCCCTCCCCACGCCTCAGACCCAGGGAAGCCAAGCTGGGAGCTCCTGAGCTGGGCTGGGACTGGCAGAGGTACGAGTTCCCTGCAGACGCTCCAGGAGACCCCGCGATCGCCAGGTCCCCGGGACCGGCCCTCAGCCTGAGGCAGGCCCCCTCCACCTGCCCCACTCACCTTTGGGCGGGCTAGTTGTTGTGGGGGCTACCCTGGGCATTGTACGAGGCTTGGCAGCATCTCTTGTCTCTACCCGATAAATGCCAGTGACAGCCCCCCCCCCCCCCCC